TATATGTATATATATATGTATATATATATGTATGTATATATATATATATATATATATATATGTATATATTAAGTCTAAATCATAATAATGTGGTTATGTGTCGTCTTTTACATACATTTGTATCATGTTTGAATCCAACACTCTCAATCTATTTTTTTCAATTAATTTTAACGAGCTGATTTCGAGTTGAACACAAACAAGAATATTTAAATCGAGTCGAATACGAACACACTATTCACGAGCCAATTTCGAACACGAGCAATTTCGAATGAGCCGTATGTGAGCCAAGCCTGAGCTCGTCTACAACTCCACTTCTCTATTTGATACATATATGTATATCTAAAGTTATTTGTCAATTGAGTCTGTTTTATAAGCATGACATTATAGTTAATTAGTATTGAAACTTTTTTCTGACAACTTCTGATTTAGCTCATTCAAATAGTAATTAATTTTCTATGTTTTGTTGGATAATTTTTTCTTGTGAGCAGGCTTGATTTGACATTTATAACTGCATTCATTTTAAAACTATGTAAAAATGAATTTTTATGTGTATTCTGAAAAACCCAGTAAAAAAAAGTTTTACTGAAGATGCATCTTGAAGTGGTGAGGCTTCAACTAACTTGAACATAGAATAAAATAAATAATTGTAGAATCATGTCACTAAGTTGGGAAAATTATTTGAAAACTGATAAAATATTACATTTAAATGCAACTATTGTGGTATCACTGAACATATTCAAGAGTAGAAACTCTCTTAAGATAGATGGTGGTCCTGAAATTAACTTTTGCCCCAAAGTATGTTCCTCACTAATAAGTGAAATGCAAAAACAAGTCATCAAAGCTGGGTTAAGGATTAAAAGGACTTCAAAAGACATATTGCTAGCAAGTTCTCATGGGTCATGTTAATTCTACTTCAATTCTAATCAATGATGCTAACGACAATGTTGATTCAATTAAATTGAAATGTTATGAGGCTAAAAGAAGGAAAAGTTGTTGAAGTTAGTAGTTTGGAACCTGCATGCAATATACAGATATGAGAACAACTAGGTTGTGAAATTGCAATAATGTTTTTTTCAGTTGGCCTCCTTTTTAACTTTGCAAGAAATCCATGCTATGAGAATGCTTTTACATTTGCATATGATAATAACCCTTTAGTTATATTCCACTAGGGTTCAATGTTATAGATCAAAGTTATTGCAGAGAAAACAATTTAATATTGAGAAATTACTTGAATCAACAAAAGGTACATGAAAAGATAAATGAGTTAGTTTAGTTTGCTATTGTTGGACCGATCCGGAAAGACGATTATTCAACAATTTTATGACAATATCAGAAAGTTGTCTAATGTTTACCAAAGTTGTAAATTATGAGGGGCAAATGTAAAGATATATTTTTCATTTTCAATTTGATTAAAGAAGTGATATCGATGGTTGATCTTTCAAATGTTGTTAAGTAATTATTGATAATGTTTCAGTTTGTAGGGCATCCATCATTTGTTTGTTGAACAAATATATCCTCATATATTTTGGACACCTTGCATTATTCGTACGCTCACTTACCTTAAATAATTTATGTGTTGCGAAAAATATTGAAGCAAATGAGATCACGTAAAATGAATAACACAGTTTCACAGTGATTGTTGAAGATGTTTTTTGGGTAAAAAATTCTATCATGAATCATTCCATGAGACTTTCTATATTCAGTGATTTTTCCAATCTGAAAATGCTTGCTGTTGCTCAAAGTAGGCTTGGTTCAGTTATTATGATGTTAAGAAGATCCAAACAAGTTAAAAATACGCTTCAAACAATGGTGATTAGTGAAAAATGGTCATGGTATCACGAAAATGGTGTGGAAAGTCAAGTTACGTGAAGGAAAAAATACTTGATTTTTATTGGGATAAAGTTGAATATATTCTATCTTTTAGCGATCCTATTTATCACATATTTTGAGCTGCAGATACAGATAAGCTATGCTTGCACTTGATTTATGAGACGTGGGATATGATGTTAAGTAAAGTGAAACAAGAAATATATAAATATGAACGAAAGATAAATGATGAAGACTCAAAATTCTGGAGTGTTGTATGTATAATTTTGAAGGATAGGTGAAACAAAACTAACACACCCATGTATTGTATTGCTTAGCTCATTCTTTAAATCCAAGGTTAATTTTTTTTTTTCTTGCTGTCTAGTTTACTTTTATTTCATTAATTTAGAATCACCTAAATCTAAAATTTTATTTTATTTTTTTTACATTCTTGGAAAATATTCAAGGAATGGCTCGCGGAAAATCCTTAATGTTTTTTTCCCTCAAAGAGATTTGAATTTTTCAAATATGAGAAATGTTTGTTTGAGGTGTTTTTTT